CAAAGTCATTCTGAATGCTTCTTTGTGACAGGGAAGATGGATTGTGGAAAATTACACAACTTCACAATCAAGGTGTTGGGGGTGTTTACACTAGAACAGCTAAATTGCCCTGGCAAGCATTATTGTGGTGGATCCATCACTGCATACAAGTGGCAAGTATTCTCTGTAGCTCACTGTCTCTTCCTGTAAGTACACTCACAAGCTCTTTGTACATTTCCAGCTGCAATATATAACAAATAAAAGTATTTTGCTGTAGCTAGTCAAAATGCAAAGCATGATTACCACAATAACATAAGCCAAATTTTCAGTTGTAAGTGAAACTAAAAGGAACATTATTTTACATGATAAATTACATTATTAAGGAATATTCTGTTTCCAGGCTCGTGTATATCTGTGGAATAATTATGTGTGTCAGTTGTCATTTATAATTTTTAATTATTTGATCTTGTTGTTACTTGTTCTTTTATTGTGTCTGTTAAGTCTGAGTGTCTTTAGTTTGCAGAATCTGCGGATGCTCACAGTTGTTTCATTTTCTTTTTGCTCTGGACTGGCAGATTCTGGAGGTTTACTTATGTGTGAGGCTGATAAAACATACCTGTCAGGGATCACTAGCTGGGGATTGGGCTGAGCAGAACTTGATAAGCCAGGTGTTTACACACACATTTCTCACTATCTTGACTGGATTAAGAGCTCCATGGACAGTGGTGAGTGTATAAATTGGTGGTATCAACAATATTTTATTTAAAAGCTAAAGATATTAGAAGGCCTTTTATGTATCAGTAATATTAGTATTTTACTTTTGCGCAACCAAGAACCTCAAGTCTCATTAATGATGTAACTGCTATTCATTTGAGTTAAAGTTAAAATGAGTTTTGTGAAGGTCATCTCAGTTTGTCATGGTATTATCTGATAAATCTCTCACTAAAGATAAAATTATAAATCAAGATCTTTCAATTTTATTTAGACATTTATGCAGTTTTTGCTACAAATACATTTGATTACTGACAAAACAACACTTGGGCCTACAGTTTATTATTTATAAAAAGCAACTTAAACACACACACAGATGTCTGGTTTACTATCATTGTGGGGACTCTCCATTGGCGTAATGGTTTTTATACTGTACTAACAGTATATTCTATCACCTTGCTCCAATCAACCTACCCCTCACAGAAAACGACAGACATTTTTACATTCTCCATAGAAGAAAAAACTCATTCTGTATGATTTATAAGCATGTTTCCCCATAGGGACCTCAATTTAGGCCCCCACGGTCACACCACACGAGTCGTGTGTATTCAGGTTTAAGTCCCCACCGGGATAAAAAAACATGTACACACATATCACACACATATATTGATATTATAAACTCTTTATTTTAGTATATTAATAATAACTTATTGGTTTAAATACTTTAAAGTCATATTGCAGCCCTCCTGGTTGAGAACCACTGGTATTTGTTAGATGATTTTTTCAGAGCATGACCAGTAGAGGGCAATGATGTTTATTATGTGTCTGTTGTTACAGAGAGGATAAGACACTATCACTGTATCATGTAAGAAAACTGGTTTGATAGTCTCGATATTACTGTAAATTACCTGTCAGTGCATATAACTCGAGGCTGTCTTCACTGTTGTTTAAAGCTTTAATTGAAAGTCATTATAATGACAGACTTTGCAACGAAGAACTGTTTTGCTAGAGTAGCTCTCCTGGTACACGAAACAAGGGCTAAAATAGCCACAGTCTGCATAGTATAGTGTGAAATGTGGTAATATGGAAGGCTGTATCAAAGCAACAATACACTGGTAATGGAACATGCTGAAGGAACATGAACTTAGGTCAGCCTTCATAAACAGAAAAAAAAAATCTATACAGACTACCTTATTTTCATGTTGACAGGAAAATCTACCCTGCCTGTTCCTCTGTGTGAGTCATATTCCTTCTTTAGCGTTTATTCTCTCCATGGCCCCTCCCCGTGGGAAAGCTGGCCTCATGTGATTGTGGTGGCCCATGCTGGAAGCTGTGGTCACAGCAGTGACTCTACTGGTGCCAAAAGAATGGAGGACTGAACCCACACATGCACACACACACTCAAGCCTAAACGTTCACTAACATAAACACACACCACGCTCACACGCGAGTCTCTCTACACACAGTCCACAAGCCACTCACAGGAGAATCTGCCCCTCGTTGCGCCACATCCCTCACAGACACACAGTCCTGCCACAGTCTAGCACACGCGTACACACATTCCATGCCCATTTTAAAGTTCAAACTGAGGAAAACACAAGCAAACAAACAACAACCCAAGAATAAAAAATTCACTCCATCACATCACCATGGACCAACACTTAGATTTTTTGTTTTAATTGCCCTTTTAGTGGTAAAACACATGATTATTCAGTTTTCATGGTTAACCCCACTTTTAATTTGAGACCGTCTTGTAAATGATGCATGCCGTCTTTCCGGTGGTGTCGCTGGAAAGCTGATCTGTTTCTTATGAGTCAGACATAATGGATGCCCTCTGTCACAGAATGTGATAATTTGTACTTTTGCTTAAATGCAATTTTGTTTAATTTTTTGTGCATTACCAGTTTCTAGAATATTGGATTCTGACTGTCAGATATTTCCTAAAAATCAGTGTTGTGCATGGCAATGCTGTACAGGGAGAAACATTTGGGTTCCAAAAGTAAAGATCCCATTGATTTAATGATAACTGACTTAATAATAAGAAATCGACTGTGAGTGACAAGGTTGTTAATCGATAATACATGCTTTTGTTGAAGCCATCAGCCCACATTATTTCAACTTATTTTTTAAATAATGATATTTAAAGCCAGAATTCCTTGTGAAAACTACATTGCATATGTAATCATGCCAGAAAACTCTTTAGCAATGCCCGTTCCCATGAAGCACTCCAAATGATATACATTCAGTTTCCCTATACACTCTCAAACTACTTAAATGTTTGTTTATGCATACTTTGCAATAAACTTATCATATATTGTTTCTAACATAATAAGCATTTTTAAATCAATAGTTTTATATTCCTCCATTTGGTAACACTTTGTTTTAAGGTGTCCTTGTTAGACATCTTACATATACTTACAATTATAATAACAATTAATTATGCATAATTACATGCAAGTAACCCTAAGCCAAACCCAAATCCTAACCCTAACCATATAGTAAGTGCATGTAGTTAATTAATATTACTCAGTATGTATAATTTGTATGTTTGTATGTATAAGTATGTATAATTACACCTTAAAATAAAGCGTAACCCTCCATTTTTATTTTGATTGTCATATTATAGTTCTTTCCCTCATTAAAGCCATTAAGTCTTGTATACCTTTGTCTTTTTGTTCGATTTTCAGATACTTTTTTGCTTCAAATCAAATTAAATTGACCTCATAGCTTGTTGGTTTGGTTCATGGCTTACGATTTTTTTTTTCTAAATTCCAATGGGGAAAAAATGAATGGGACTATTCTTAGCTGATACTTTAAGGTAATATATAGGTAAAATTATGAAATAACTTCAACTTTATATGCACATATTTATTTGGTCATTATCCATGTGTAATGTGGGGATAGTGTTGGCCTACTGTCAGCAAGTTATTACAAAATAAACAAAACAAAAACACAACTCCCTTCAGGGTGATACAAGACCCCTCCATTACACATTGTGGTTCTGATCACCGTGCCAGCTTTAATAACTGGCTGACTTTGACTATACAATACATTATCTCTTACATAGTGTTCTGTTTCTTCAATGTATAAATGTGAGGATATGTGTGCGACGAGATCCATTTTTTGTTTTCTGTGAGTTTTGAAGAGAGTGGGTTAGTTTGGTTTCACTATAATTACAGCCTGTAGATGGAGAGTGGTTGGCAGAGGCATTGAGAGGGCACACAGTGTGCCTGGTTTCCTCTTGCTGTTGCAGGATCAGGGCCAGCAGCCACCATGTTTTCACTGAGTGGCCGCCGTACCACAGTGTTCTCATCATCCTCACTGGAGACAGCTAAAGCAAACAAGATGCTCTAAATGGCACCTTACTCTTATAGCACCCAGAGGAGTCTTTTAGATAAGAGTCAGTTTGTGTACTTAGTGAGTCCATCTCTGCTTTAAAGGGGACATAACACACAGTTTCTGCCAATCTCATGTTAATCTTGATTAGGCTACCTATAGAGTAGTATTTCATCCTTCATATCTCCAACAAGTCTTTAGTTTTATCAGATTTATAAAAGACAGCTTTACGCTACTTTTACTTTTTTAATAGGGTTTTTAGGCATGAGGAAGGTCAATTGAACAAAACATTGGTAATAAAATTTAGTAATGATGCATATGTTGGAGTATTTTGCAGGATTTGTACATTTTTTTAGTTTAAATTAGACTTTTTGATAAAAGAACTCAGCTGGTGTCCAGTATAGAATAAAAAGACATAACATTGCTAATAGTTTTCCTTTCATTATGTGATTCAGGAAAAGGGAACTCTAAGACGTTCACAAAATTCGCATATATGACACTGCCTTGAGAGAATTGTGATCGGCAGAGTTTGCTCGAGTGCTGCCATCTTCTGGAAGCTGCATGTATTTGCACACACAAGTAAGTGAACAAGAGGAACACTGTTTTAATAAGGCACATTTGTCTTTATGTAATCTTCTCAAGAAGTTCCATCTCAAATGTATGATATATCATGTCAGAATCCAAGTGAATGTATAAATGACTGAGTAAACAAGTACACTAATAAAAAAAAATATATAAGATCAGAGTTCTAGAAAGTTCTGGTATCTAGATCTCAAAATCCAAGTTCCTATCACTGAATTGCTTTGAGCCATTCTTTTAACTCATCCAGTCTTTCTGAGAGTTGCATTTAATTGATTTTACACTTAAATTCTACAGTCCATTTCATTCACCTCCTATTTTTCTTAGTAAGCAAAATCAGACTGTTTTGTTTAATTATTTTTAAACTCTCAAAAAAAAAGTACAAAAGCAGTCAGTCGGTTTATACTAATATGTATTTATGTACTAATATGCACCCTTTAGGAGTACCAAGGTGTATCTTTCGAAAGGGCATCGCCCCAGCTTTTGTACCTGTTTTATCTGAGAGTTTAAATGTTGGAATAGTAGATTCAACTGAATACACATTTTATTTTAATTGTTCAATGCTTTGTGGTTCCGTTTAAAGGCGGTAATGGTCATAAATAAGTCTGAATGACCAAGAAATGAATTTTTCCTTTCAGACTGTCATAAACTCCAAACTTCTGATTTAGAATGCCCCAATCTCTGTGCCCCAGGCCTGTCCGGACTTACTGGAGGTGCCCAAACCCCTGCGACCTGGGGCTGGAGACCCCAGAGGGGCAAAGGGTCTGAAGGAAATCTGGGGAGGGGAGGAGTTGGAGGAGGATGAGGAGGATGACGGGATTGTGGGTCCATCAGGTGAGTGCTGTTGAAGTCTGTGTGGATGTCCGGGGATAGAGGGCATTCGACGCACCGGGGTCAGCGCTGGACTCAGTAATGCCCCCTGGTTGCTCAAAGATCCCACTCGCAGGGCCGGTGAAGGGTAACCCAGCAAGGCGGCGGTGGCATGGGGGGTCAGATTTCGGCAGGTGGTTGGGGGAAACGGGCTAGATGACGTTGGAGACGAAGTGGATGCCAGCTGAGGAAAGGAGGGCCAGGGCCAAGGAGGAAAAGGCAGAGCAGCGGGGCTCTGGAGGAGAGGGTCCAGCTCACTGGCGCAGTGGCTGAGATGGGACACGAGGCGTGTACCAATGGGATCTGAGGATTCGACCCCCTCCAGAGACCTGAGGTATCTTATCACCTCTCCAACACACTCCCGAAAGCCCAGAGTCCTGTAGTCCACTGCCAGAGCACGAGCATCAAAGTAGCCTAGGAGAGAGAAAACAAATTATATACTTGAGTACCCACAATTATTATGATGCCCTTTTGAGGGACCTCCTTCCTAAAATATAGCTATAAATGTTCATATATAAGGACCCATTTGCAGTACCTTTTAAAAGTTTGGGTTCAGTATTATTATTATTATTTTTTTAACTTTTTTTTATATTTTCAATTAAATTATGTTCTTTTGAACCTTCTGTTCATCAAAGAATCCTGAAAAAAATATATTGTATATATTAATAAGAAATGATAATAAGAAGAAATATTAAGCAGTAAATCAGCATATTAGAATTATTTCTAAAGGATCACTTAAGACTGGAGTAATGACTGCTGGAAATTCAGCTTTGCCATCACAGGAATACATGCCTTTTTTAATATATTAAAATATAAAACAGTTATTTTTAATTTGTAATAATATTTCCCATTATTGCTGTTTTACTGTATTTTTGGTCAAAATAAATGCAGCTTTGTGGAGCATAAAAGACTTCTTTTAAAAACATTTAAAAAATCTCACTGACCCCAAATGTTTAAACAGTAGTGTGACCTATATTATGAGAAAAATATTAAGCATGATTGTTTTTCAAATTAATAATTAGCTTTTATGTTTTTATGTCTCTGTACTAAAACAGAAAAAAAAACGTTAAAAATAGTATCTGTAAAATAGAATAGCACAGTTGTGATTAATCTAAATGATATCTGAACAGTCTTAAGAAGCACATTCTGTAAATTTTAACAGTCAGTCAAATTCAGTAAGTTTTATTACATGCAAAGACTAAATTAGATTTTTTTTCCAGAAGTAAATTCGAGTGGTGTCTGAACATGCAAACATCACTGTTACAGTGAATGATGTAAGTAGTTCCTGTTGCTATGCAGTTGCTAAAGTTTTAGCATGTTCTTGTGTTGTTTCTAACGTGTTCTGGTTGCTCAACAAGACATGATTTGAGGCATCATTCATGCCCATAAAACAAACATGTGAGTCTCGTTATGCCATAAGTGAATATCTGAGGTTATGGACTTGCCAAAATCCATTACCCAGAGTATGAGCAATAGTAGTAGCAGTAACACTGTGTAAGGCCATTAAGATTCTCCTGCTCAATATCTTCTCTTACCTTTGCCGCCCATGGCATGCAGCAGCTTCAGATGATCCACTGTCATCTGAAGAATCTCAGCCTTCTCCAGTTTAGAGGAGCCCTGGCCAAGAGGGGGAAATGTACTGGTTTTAGTTTTAAAACTGTTTTATAAAATTTGATATTGTACGTTTAAACTCTGTCCACTCAGCTGTTTTGAAAATATGAAGCATCTAACTGATCCTGTGGCGTTCAGTCTGATCGTCTTACCTGTTTCTCGAAGGCACTGGGTACGAGTCTCCTGAGCTCTGACAGACTGTGGTTGATCCTGTCCCTGCGTCTCTTCTCAATTATCTGTGGAATCCAGTGGAATCATTTTAAAGACAGAGCAACGATTTGAAGTGGAAGGCATTTGCTAACTGGATTATTTTTGTGTAATTGTTTTTTTGCTAGTTGTAGCATTTCTAAGATCAGATTTTGGAAAAAATACCAAGTCAAATAGAAAAACACAAATCAAAGTCAGACAAGAGGGCTTAAACTGTAAAAATGCATGTTGCTGCAGAGGGTCATGTTGCAGGGAGTTTTGAAAAAGGCCAGCATTCACAGAAGAGACCTTGTACCGAGATCATTTACGAATTATATATTTGGTCTGTTCTTGAACAAGCAGGGGAAAAACAGAGCTAGATTGACGTAAACTCACCCCTCTTCTCTTCTTGCGCGCCAGGATCTGTGAGGTACTGCCTGGAGACATGGACCCAGTGACAGGGCTGAGCAAGAGAAAGAGCGAGCGGGGAAGGGGACAGATTGAAGCTTTGATGTCAGTGCATATTGTTGTCATTACTGTATTTAATACAACGCAGAAACGCTGTTGCACATCATCAAACCCAATCTAATTTGTCTTGGGGAACAGCTAGACACGGGAGCGCCGGGGTAAACAGAAAACAAGATTATTTTGGTTTAACGCGTTTTTGGACATTATTGTCAGATGGCTGATATGTTATGATTTTTGCATAGTACGAAAGCATTTTCTTTTTAAGCTTAAAAGACATGATGATTACATATCCGCAGGGCAGGCTGAAATGGCTTTTGCGTGCACTTTGAGCACATCAACACATGGTATTATCCTTCAATGTGGATCTGGTTTACATGGGCACTTTCTGCGGTCTGCCAGCAGAATGACAGTGTTTGTTTTGCTTTTACTTTGACTTCCATGCATAACTATTATTTTTATATCATATTGTAATTCCTTTTAACATTAAGAGGCTTAATGCACAAGCATTAGGTTTGTTTAGAGGAAAAGAGTCTAGTCCAAAAAGAAAATTAGTTACAGGAATAAATTGTTGTATAGAGTTTTTGTATCCTGGTTAAGAGTTTTTCAAATGCAATAAGATTAGAAACCATTGGTTATCGTAGGGCACAATTCAAAAGGACCAAACGGCGGTTACATGTGTCTTTAGTCTGCTCTTGATTTGGGTCACAGCTTTAAAAAAACAGTATCAAAAAGACTAAATGACTGAGAGAAAAATGCAAAACAGACAGAGAAGGAAAAAGCATGCTGAGCTTAATTCTCGTCAGTGGCACAGCAATAGGAAGATACGCCTCTCAAGACTAAGACAAATAAGATCATTATGGGCCTCCATCAGCTGCCCAGTTAGACATTGGCCCTGTGTGTGATTTTGACAGTGTGTGTCCGCTCACATAAACTCCAGTGTCATCATACTCAACTTTCAGAAATAGTGTAGATGGCAGTGATATGCGCTAATAGGGAGGGCCAACAAGAGGACATTTTCTGTAGAATCTTGGTTATAGTATTTGATGATTTTTGGGACGTGACTTTGCTGTCCCTTCATGCAGGATCTATGCTTCTTGGTAAAACATAGCTGAATATATTGAGGCATCATAAAATATTCAACAAGTACAACATAAAAAATTGCAATAAGTGAAAAAGTGCTGTCCTAATTTATTTTAATGTGCCTTGGCTACAGTGTAATTACAAGCACTGAGTAATATTAATTAACAAAATGTACTTACTATAGATTTAGGGTTAGGGATTGGTTTAGTGTTCCTTGTAATTATACACTATAGTACATACACTATGTAATACTATAGTATAATAATGTAAATACATGTAACAAGGATAACTAATTTTTGTTACCAAAAAAGATTGACCAAATAATGCGTTACCAAAATTGCTTATCCTGGCCAATGCCAAAAATCCTTATAACAACATATAGCATTTGCATGTCTTGATTTGTGAATGTTAAACATTTTATGAATTATTATAAACAGCACAGTGCATCATAAACCCTGAAGGCCCATGCAGAGTCGCCCATACAGCTGTCAAAAACCACCTTGCACTAAAAGAACTATGGCTTGTAAATTTAAATGAATACTTAATTAAACTCAACATAAATAGCACTTTTTAACACATGATTCAATCTTTAGAGATTCTGAGTTGTAGTGTGTGCTCTGCATGTACGGTAGAGTCACTGACAGCCATATATCACCCCCACTGAGCACATTATATAATGTACACTCAAAGTCCTCACCAGTAGCTGTCTTCCTGTCCGACATCGATCAGTTCGTCCATGTCTGAGTCTGGGGAACTGTAATCATGAGGTCTCTTCATCGCCAGGGTCCTCCGTCCTCCTCTATCCCGGCAAGGGACTGTTAAATCGATGGAGCGATGGAGATGTGCAAGATGATCTGAGATGATCTCAGATGATGGATTCCTCCTCTGTCCTTCAAATGCCGCTGTAAGGAAAGCAGCCACCTTCTAATGCGAACACGCCCCTCCCTATTTCCTTTTTTCCTCTCCACCTTCTTCTCCTCTATTTCTCCCTCTATCCTCCGACCACAATACGAGCACGCTTGCTTGGGAGTTTTTATTAGACCTCTCTTACTGACTAAGTCTGGTACTTGTTTCTGCTCTTATGTGTAGTCGTGTTTTGACATCTCCAGACCCCCTGGACTTGAAGCCAGAGAATGACAGTCCTTGTTCTTCTGTGTTCTCTCACTATTCCTGCTTTTCCTGGCCCTTCCTACCTCTCGGTCGCCCTGGCTACGCTCGTCCTCTCGCTTTCTGCTGCAGCAGCACAAGCGACTGAACTTGGGCACTTTGGCAAAGTTGCCAGTTTTGGCTCCCTCTTCCTTACCCTCCCACACTCCCTGCCTCCCTCCATTCATCCCAGCCCCTCATCAGCCCTCCCTTCTTTTTCTCTCTCTCTCTCTCTGTCATTTCTCTCCTTTCAATTAGCCTCTTCTCTCTACTGTCTCATCTCGCTCTATCTTTACCCCCTCTGTCCCTCCCTCCTTCCTTCTGTCTCTGTTTGTCTGTCTCCTCTTTTCCACTCTTTTTAATTAGTTTCCCTCCCTCTCTCCCAGGACAATAGGAAGTACACTGTGGGAATAGTGCATTGGATTTGGACCCACATGCACACATACAGTGGCCCCAAAAAAGTACATGGACAGTCATGGTTTTTATATACTATAAAACTTTATCTTTAAATGTTTGTTTGAAAAGTGAGCTTCTGTTGTCTTTATTTAAAATTAATGTTTTTGTTTAAATTAATTTTAATCTGGACACTTTCTGTCTCAAAAAAGAAAAATATATATATATACAGTCAAACCAAAATGTATTCAGACACCTTCAAGATTTCACAACATATCACAGTTTATTCACTATAGTTTAGAAAATGGTAATAAAATATGACAAGAACTCAGAGTTAAACTGTGTCAGAACAAACTCATCTTGATAATGTTAGATAACAATTAAGCAAAACATGGTCAGGTCAGTGTCTGAATAATTTTTGGTCTCACCTTTTTTATCAGTTTTACTGGCAGTCCACTGTATGAAGAATTTTTGGGTATAATATGTTACAGTTTACTTTATTTTGCTATCCTCACTTACATAATTTTTGTATTATTTTTTTATTTTTGTGTTTTATTCCTGTAATGGCAAAGCTGAATTTTAAGCAGTCATTACTCCAGTCTTCAGTGTCACATGATCCTTCAGAAAACATTATAATATGCTGATTTGCTGATTAAAAAATGTTTCTTATTATTATCAATGTTGAAAATAGCTCTGCTTTAAACAGTGGTGTTTTTCAGGATTCTTTAATGAATAGAAAGTTCAAAAGATCAGCATTTATTTAAAATAGAAATCTTTTGTAACATTACAAATGCTTTTCCATCACTTTAAATAAATGTAATGCAATCTGATGAATATTGTTTTCTTAAAAAAAAAAAAATCCAAACTTTTGAACAGTATATTGTTCACAAATAAGAAAAAAAACCCACATTTGGACACTCTTTGGCTGTCAATGGAATATTTTCATTGTCAATGTGATGAACTGCGTATGTGATTACTCTGTGAACTGCCTTCATAAAATCACTGCAACACTAGCTGGAAGAAAATAATTACTTCTGAAAAGATTTTTGAGTGCGGCCTAAATGTCCAAATACTTTTGTATCCAAATATCATTATATTCAGAATCTGTTTAAGTATCTATACAGCAAAATGGGCTCGAATGGCTTGAGTTTGAGGTGGGATTATCTGTTTGCTCGACCAGTTGCAGACAGGAGTGTTTGGAAAACCTGTTTGGAAAAACCTGTCATTATTTGCAATTCTGTTTGCTGTGACAGATACAGTATAACACACTTAAACTACACTATCAGAAAAAAAGTACAAAAGGTACTCTTTCAAATTGTACTAATAAGGTACTAAATTTATATAAGGTACAAACGTGTACCTTTTGAACAGGTACAGCCCCAGTGACAGCTTTTGTACTTATTTTTCTGAGAGTGTAAGAATCAACTGTTGATAAACACATATTATTTGACCACTGATCTGATCTGATGTGTCCCCTTGAGTGTCTGTGGTGGATATGTCCCTGAGTCTGAGGGACAAAGCAGCTCTGATAGTGACCCTGAACTGATGCTCTCAGTCTGAAGAGAGATGAAGAGAGGTTAAAAGAGGATTTAGCTATTGAGTGTCTGAACAGAGGATCTCCTCAAGGACGACAGCCTTTCGGTTTCCCATGTCAGACACACGGCATTTTCAAAAGAAACATTTCACTTCACACTATATAGTGCTAAGCACATGCATGTAAACTCCGAGGTGTTCACTCCTCCATCCACTACCGTGGGAAGCTGTAGGGCGAGAGCAGCCATGGTAACTAGAATTACAAGTGCTTGGCAGGAGTTTGCTGTCAGGAACGGTGCCTTACTGACCCAAGCTGCAGCAGCATGCCCTGCATTACACAATACTCCATGCACCCCTCTGCCTTCCTGTTGGCTTGCTGCTTTGATCCCATGGGGCCGTACGCAATTGAATAGTTTTCTGGTGTGTACACATTTGTGCCAGTGCAGTTGGCAGGCAGCCCGTCTGATGCAATTACACCTACACTCTTGAAAATAAAGTTTCCTTATTGGAATCTGTGGTTCCATTAAGAATCTTTAACATCCATGGAAACTTTCAAATGGACGAAAACTTCTTTATAGTAGAAAAAGTTTCTTTTGATTATCAAAATATTATTTACGTGTAGAAAAGAAATGATCCTTTATAGAACTGATCACTGAAAGGTTCTTTGGGGATCCCAAAATGGTTAATCTAAGGCATCACTATGAAACCCCCCGTTTGGCACCTTTATTTTTAAGAGTGTATGTGCGGTGACCCCTAAAAGATTCATAGAACAAAAGATATGCTGTACAAGAATGAAGACAAAACTGTGTTTGAACTAGTGTTGCTTTCGTCAACGAAAATTATGACTAAATATACTAGACTAAAATGCTCAGACTTTTAGTTGACTAAAACTTGACTAGACTAAAAAGAATATGAACGTGACTAAAACTAATAAAAACTAAAATGACAGTTTCACACAAAGACTAGACTAAAACTAAAATTAAAACAGGCCACCAAAAACAACACTAGTTTGAACACTTATGGGTTGTTAGATGTTAGTGGAATATATTCACAGTTAATTTGATGAGCTGTACCAGGTAGTGTTGGGGAAGCTCATTTCAATAATGTAGCTTGCTACAAGTTAATCATAATAACAGATAGTTGAACTATAGCCAATCTGCTGTTTTGAAAAAGTAGTTAGCTACACTATAAGCTACAACCACAAAACAGACTATGCTGACATTTCCTAAAGGCCCTTGTGAAAAAGAAGTGTGCTTAATTGTACTGAATGTGCACTTATAATGTACTTAAAATATCAAAAGTACATATTTTTAAGAACTGAACTTGCAGATAATACAATATCAATGACATAAAAGGCCACAATGACAGTATACTTTCATGAAGTACATTTTTAAAAAGTGCAATTTGTAATAATGTCAAATTAAATGCGTTTGATTATCCTCCCAACTCAGGCATTAAAACCGTAATGTAGCATTTGGTTGGAAAAAGTAGCTCAATTCTGCACCACTCTGAAAAGAGCTGAACTACATTCACACTACTAAACAAGGTAAGTTAAGACTGGAGCACACTACACAACTTTTGTCCAGATTTTACAGTATGTTCAAGTTGACGGTAATTGACGAAAGTCAGAGCAAGTCTGCAGATTTGAGTTGACAGATTTCACAGAAAATAGCAGAGTGCATCATGGTCAAAGACTCCAGTTTTCTTAGCTTAGACTATGACTCTATCCAGTCGAAGGATATCAAACATGTTTTTATCTGTCATGTGTCTCCTAAGGCACGTGTTTCTGTATGAATTTGTTGTGTTTGGAATGACTTAAAAGTCTAGTAGTGTGTGATCCTCAGTCGTTTAGTGTATGATCACCGCTAGCCGCTAAACACCTGAGCAAACTTATTTCATACGTCCACTAAAAAAGCTGAGGGAAGTTAAGTCACATCTTATGTTTTGATAAAAGCTTTGCTAGTATTTTATGCAATTTAGTTTGTTACTTTATTATGAATTCAAAATGCTTTGTGAAGTGTCACTTAAGTGTCCAAATACTTTTAAATGTGTGTTGGTTTTCCCAGGGTATGAGCCGTATAAAGCACATATGCTTGTTCAAACATCTCCCCTCTCCTCCCGCTTTTAGAGATGGATGGTGGCTGCAATTAGCAGCGAGCAGACGTGTGGCATTTGACCGTCTCGGGAGGCTTATGGTTTGATGTGTGAGTCAAAACGAGTGTAAGAGATCCCTTTATCCTTCCATCCTCCCCCGACTCCATCTCCTTTCATTACCAATCCCTCTTATATTCGGGTCTGGATCTCATTTCCAGAAAGCAAGAAGAAAGGAGCTTGAGAGAAAATCTATGAAGTCGGGCCTTTCGCCGTGTCTCTGCTGTTATTTTTGTTGTCCAACCGCTTCAAAGTCGTGCTTTCTTCTCGTTCTCCATTCTGATTATTTTTCTTTCGCAAGGTTTTTCTGCATCCTTTGCTTCTCCCCCTTTCTCCTCCTCTTCCTCTGAGTTTTTGATCTTTGTCATGGCACACTTCCTCCACTGATGACAAATTAAGGGGGGAAATCACTGTGGAAATTGGATGAATGCAACAGAGGGGGGAATTAAGTAAATAAATCAGTTGATCTGCAAAAATAGTTTGAAGGGGGAAAACTGAGAACAAGAAACGGAGAACAAAGCGAACGCTGGTATTGAGCAAAGCGGCTTCTTGCGCTCTTGGTTGGCCACTTCAGTGCTTTTGCAAAGCCCTCCCTCTTCACCACAACAAGAACAGCTCTACAACTGAAATTAACAAGCTCATATTTTTACGATTCTCTCATAGAAAGAAGCGCATGCACACATACATGCAATCACCCGTTTTCTGTTTTTCACACACAGTCAACTACACACAAACTAATGTGCAACTTACATATTAAATGTTACTGCCAAATGACAGCAGCCAAAGCTCACACGGTCTTCCTCAAGCAGTAATGGTGTTTTAATTCGTGCTGACACACACACACACCCACATGCATTTAACCAGCTCTACCACATCTTGCATGACTTTCCTCCCTTTATGTGTAAATCTCAGCGGCTGACCCCAAAATCAGCCCGTGTTTTGATGTTTCTTTTCATTTGACTCTCTGAGTGTCGGAGAGCTGAGGCCCCACTGCGAGCGCTGACAAAT